AAAGAAAAAAGAAAAGAAAATTACGTATTTAAGCTAAAGTCAATATGGGTAACTGCCGGAATGCATGTATTATTTATTATTATCTCTTAAAATAGAAAAACTGAAAAAAATAAAAAATAAAAAAAATAAAAAAGCGACAAGAGAATACGAAACCAATATTAGCCAATCAGAGTGGGGCGGCAGCGCGTCGCCACTTCCACGTGTACAACTGCCGCGTGGGCTGACGTGGCTCAACTCTGCTGCCAAGGCCACGCTTCAACGCCATTCTTTTTTCTTTTTTGAGAAAAAAAAAATCAAAACAACTTCAACGCCATTTCCTTTGCTTTCTTTTTTCCGGCGCTGGTAGGAGTTGAAAAAAAGGTCACCCCAAATAAATAAACAGGTAACTTGCATAAATAATCTCCGACTTTTTTAAAAAGTAACAGTTTAATTTCTAATTTTGTTTTTTAACAAAATGACCTTAGACCTCTTTAAAAATGTGCAATCTCGTCCTTTATGTTAAATTATGTTAAATTTTTAACAGAATTAATCATGTGCAAGCAGCTGAGGATGGAGTGTTTGGTTATCGGCAGTGGTGGAGAAATAATGGCCGCGGGGAAGGAAGAAGCATTGTGTTTGGGGATTAATGGAGATGATTGTGATGTTGAGAAGAGAAGCTCGGTGGTGATGAGTAGGACTGTAGATCAAGCGATGAACATCACTGGAATTTGAGGATTGATGAATCTGGGTTTTGTAAGTTGAAGAACCCAAATCCCACCCATGCTGAACCCAGCCGCCAATCGCGCCTCCCCGCTCGCCGCTCGACTTCGCCGCTCTTGTGAGCTGAAAAACCAGAGTTGAAACGGATAATTTTTCTGGGGGCATTTAAGTCATTTTACTGAAAAATGGGGTCATGTGATGAGTCACCTGACATGTTTTGTTAAAAATTTAACAGAATTTTACGAAAAGAACTAAACTGTCACCTTTTAAAGAGGTTATGGGTCGTTTTGCCAAAAAAAAAAAGTTAGGAACCAAACTGTAACCTACTAAAGTTGTTAGGGACCATTTGGCAAATTACCCTAAATAAAAAAGAAAATGAATAAAATTATTTTGGTACATGTCTTATAGCGAAACGTACTTTTAGTACCATGTTTTTTTTTGCTAATATTGAAGCAGTACCTTGATATTTATAAAAACATTTTTTTGGCACCTTAAAGTTGATTTTTAAGATGTAAAATGACCTTAGTATCCTTTTATTTAATTAATAAAAAAACGAATAGATCTAGGAAAAAATGATGAACTTTTTTATTTTGTTATTTTCTTTTAAATATTTTAATGTTTTAAAATATTTTTAGATTTTTTATAAAAAAATATTAATTTCCATTTAATTGATAAAAAATGTAATTTGGACATTACATATCTTAAAAATTAGCTTTAAGGTATCCATAAAATGTTTTTAAAAAAGTAAAGACACTATTTTAATATTATAAAAAGCACAGGATACCAAGAGTCTTGTCGAATAGTTAGTTTCTGAAAAATACAGGGTAGATTTGTGTCATAAATATGAGAGAAAAATACTGTAGCAAAACAGTTAAATTTAAATTTTTGTGAGAGAAAATAATATAGTAATATAACTTGAGTTATGACTCGAGTTGTGAAAAGAACAAGACCAAAGTGTTAATTTTTGTTTTAACCCAAATCTTTTTTATGTGTAGTTTTAACAAACAATACTCTTTTCTCGACACACAGCTTATATATCACCTCAAAGGAAAAAAAAATGTTGTTTGTTATAAATAGTATGTTCGTTTTGAAAATGATTTTCTATGCGGAAGCGTGTATCTAGCGGATTGTGTATAATAAAAATTTTAATAAACCTTTGAGATACTCTATAAAATACATTAATTTATGCACGAATAAATTAATCAAATTAATTTATTTGATTAATTTGTGAATAAATTTACCTAGGGAACTATTAGGTCAATAACTTAAGTTCTTTGACCACGAACGTTCCTCACTCCAATCTCGTTTACATTACTCGAATCTTTCTCATCAATTCTTTGAATCTATGAAGACGTGTGTGGGCACACCTGAAACAAAATGAGATTAGCACTCAAACACTTAAGTTTTCCACGAACCCCAACACATGCATGACGTGAATTTTTGGAGAAAATTTTCCTTTTCCTCACTCTATAAAACCAACCATTATATGCTAGGGAGAGCAAAAATTATACTCTCTAATTTTCTGCAATAACCTATTTATAAAGTAACTATCAGACTCCTAGAAGAAGTCTAAACTTTATCTCCAAGATAAAACTTAATAATTATCTCCCACTCCTATTTTATTTTAGAAACAAAATCTCCTCTCTCTCTTATCCTATTAGGCCGGCCACCAATGGGATATTCCCCCCTGTGGTTGGCGCAAATTACAGATAGGGAAGGAGAAAAAATTCTCCTTTATCCTACAGTATAATTTTGACTCAAATTCAAATTCCAATTAAAGTCAAACTTAATTTAATTTGAATTCCAATTGGACAACTTATCAAATAAGTCAATCGGATAACTTAGAGAGCAAGCAACTGAATTCAAGAGGGATTCTTATAGTGCTGGGTGTGTATATCATGCGGACTTCTCCACATATGTGTTTTTAAATTCAAGTTTAAATAATCACATTATTTAATTTATAATAGATTTTCAGTTAATTATTCTTGAGCATTCTATTTAGAATTTCATAATTGTAAAATTTTCATTTTGCCCTTATTGTCTTGTAAGATTACATGGACGACGCAGAGACTCATGGACCTATAATTTCGAGCTCTAATAAAATTAATAATTAATTAAAACTCTTTAATTAATTAATTAATTCTATGCTTAACAGAAATTATCAGAAATTCATATTGTGTCTGTGTCCCGGTTCCACACAATCTCATTATGCGTAATACACTCATTCAATATCTCATCTTATTAACAGTGCATATAACACCACTAGTAATATCGTTTTGATTATTATCCTTAAATACTATCCTCTTATATATAATACTTATATACAATATTTAAGATCACGTAAATAATCATGAAATTTTCAATGATATTTATAAAATATTCAATAACATATGCACATAAAATAATGAATAAATTTATTTATTAAATAATTAATAAATATCCTATTACATCTCATGCTTCTAGGACATTATTCCCAACATAGTAGCTGTCTAGCTCAGTCAAAATTACTATGCAAGTCAGTCAAAGTTACTGTTCATATCCGAATCTTACTGTGCAAATAGTAACCGTTAATAATGCCAAAAATTTTCCTATAAATAGAGTTATAAGGCTCTTCATTTTGTATACTTTTACAAGATTAATGAAACGCTCTCTCTAAAGTTTTTCTTCTTAGTTTTGCATTTTCTTAATTTTCATAACACGTTATCAAGATGAATGTTATATTCCTACTGCGATTGTTTACATTCATTAATTCAAGGAAATGAAGTTCTGATCCAATTACAAGTATCTACCTTAAAGTTAAAAAAAATAGGTCATAACCCTTGTCCTACTACAAGTTTCTACCCTTATTAATTCAAGTGAAATGTAGGTAAATATACTCTATTATTTTATATTCATACAAAGGAGAGTTATGTCACCAACGTATTATAATTTTTATAATCTTGTCATTATACACTCTTTGAAAGGTTTACTGAGCAGTTTGACGTGTTTGTATTCTCATAAATGGACGGTCATGCTTTCTACAGGTAATAATTTCTCATTGCACTTTAGGTGTCAATTTACCATGAATATAGTACCGCCGTAGGGTAAGTCAAAATATTCACAAATTAAACCGAGATATTCTCAATTAATAAATATAATCAAAATATCTCATATTTTCATATTTATCAACTACCGTTATTTTAGTCAAAATGTAATCAACAAATTTGATTATATTTTCATGAGCGTAACCCATCGTTTCAAATTCTACATATTTAATTTCAGAGTGCTGCATAAGATAGATCAAATTGAAAATACATCAAATCTAACTACATACAATTCACCAAATTGCTCCACAATTTGTCATAAATAACATACCGATAAAAGCTCTCAATTCGGATTCGCAAGCGAGCCAAAAGGAATTAAAAAGACTCGAAAGGAAATTAGAACAATGGAAATCCAAATCTTGCACAACAAAATCATCTCCTTGGCCAAAAAACGAAATGAATTCTGTGGTATATTTATTTTTAGGTTGTTAATATGATTAATGAATCGAAACCAAAAATAAGTAATCCTTACCCAACTCTATGTCAAAGAGGCTGCGCCTTATTTAAGCCACGGTCGTAGCCAAATCTTCACGTGGTTAGCAAGTTTTGAGGTTTTTGTTGATAAAAAAAAGTGTTTGTAAAAAAATAAAATAAAAATTATGTAAATATATTTTGTTTTTTCCCAACTTAAAGTAAATAAAACCCAGAACCAAATCCGGAGGCTAATTTGGTCATTTAAATAATCAAAATCGAAGCCGAAACAATGTTTGTTATCCGTACTCGTGTGGAGCCCAGGCCCACAACAAAATTAAATCCCCTCCGGCAATCTCCGAACAACTTTACGCTACAGCACGCCCACCAAAACCGGTGTACGACTTGTCGTATCAACCAGTGTCATCCAAGAAAACGACAAGTATCTTCACTTCACAACACGTGGCAATGATTCATTCGGCAAAGAAAAGTAAATACAGTACAAGCCTGCATAAGATCTCCCCTAAGCGGGAATCTTTAATCCACGCGTCAGCCACGACAACGCGCGTGGTTCCACGCGCCACAATTGGCGTGGAATTATCACTTGTTGTCTATAAAACGGACCAGAGGAGAGCCCCATTTTTTATTTATTTAGTAATTATTAATAATTCTTTGTCTTTCCAAACCCAACCCCACAACACAACACAAGCACAACCTCTCTCTCTCTCTCTCTCTCTCTCTCTCTCTTATAAGCACAAGAAAGAACGACTTTGCTTTTCTCATTTTTTTTTCTCATTTGTAGTTTCTCTCTCTAGTTTCTCGCTCTAAAAGTAGTCCTTTCCTCGAATTCAACCTTCGTAGCCATGAAAGCTCAGCTTCCGTAAAACCCAGGTACGGCTTCCTCTTTTCTACTCTCTCATGTCTCTATTTTCCTCGTCCTCGCGTCTCTTTATGCCTTCCTCTCTCTCTCTCTCTATCTATCTCCTCCTTAAGAAAACAGTTTGTTTGTGTGTGTGTTTTTCGTGTTTACAAGTGTATATCTTTATATATAAATATATATTTGTATATATATCTGTGTGTGTGTGTTTGTTCACGTTTTGTTTATTCTTAATCTGTATAAGCGTCTCAATCGGTGATACCCATTTCCTCAGGGCTTGAGTTTGAGCTTTCACGTGGGTTCGTCGCTTGTGTTTTTTGGCTTCTCCATGGAGGTAACAGTTTATTTATTTTTTATTTTTAAAAAATATAAAATCTTTCGCTTTTCTTTTCGGTTTATTATTCTTCTGTTGTTTTTGTTTATTGTACGATTGAGTATACTTGTTTCTCTGCGTGTTTTAACGGTTCCGTTTAGAGTAAATATCTGGAATTTTGGTGGATCATATTGGAATTCTCAGTTAAAACAGTGGTTTTTGATTGTTTGGCTTCTTCTCGTGTGTGTGTGTGTGTGTGTGTGTTTTTTTCTTTTCCTTTATTTATTTTCGTTTTTTTCCTTTTCTGGGTTTTATTTATTGTTTTGGAAAAATAAAAACTTGAATGTTTGGTTAAGATTATTATATGTTTCGGTTGGTTCTCTGAGACAAATGTACTTAACTGGGCTTTGATATTTTTCGTGAGAAAGTTTTCGACTTTCGAAGTTTTAGTTTGGGTTTCGAAAATGAATCTGAGATTTATTAAGCTTTGTTTTCTTGCTTTGATATTTTCATGTTTTTTTTTGTGCTAATATATTTAGTGGTTTTTATGTCTATTATGTTAATGAAGTTTTAACTCGTTAAATTTGGCGAGGAACAGAATTTGGTTTCAATCGAAGAACTGATATTTGGTTTTTAAGATATTGCTTTTTTGCCCCCCTAATTTTGGTATAATAAGATTTTATTTAATTTGCATAAATTCGACAAGAAAAAAAAAAGGGAAAAAAATTTGATCTTGACATTTATAAGTTGCTTTTGCATAAATTCTTCTCTGTTTTATGCTTTAATTAGTGGCTGACTTGTATCTCTTAATTGCTTTTGTCATTTCCTTGAGAATTATCCACAGTCTAGTGGGTTTTTGCTAGGAAATGAACCAACAATTTTATTTGGTATGAGTAAGGCGGGCCCACATTTGAATAGCACAACAAAGGGAGAGGCCGAACCATCATATTACCTTTCTTGTTCCATCTGACCCCAGATCTCAGAATCCAATCTTAGAAGCTTTAGATTGTTTAAACTGAAAAGATTTGAGTGTTAAGTAACAAAAAAACGTTGGAAGTTATGAACTGATTTAAGGACTGGGTTAAAAGGGGACTACTGCATTTTCCTTTCCTTAAACATACATATTGTTTATGTTATGTTTTGCTTAATATTTCGTATTATTCCCGTAGATTTTCCTACTTTTGCTTGCTTTCATTCTGATATTGAGATGTTAATCAACATAAAGCTTGAAACTTTAAGATTGGCTTATAGCATTGACCGATAGAAGGGACCAAATTACAATAATTATGGCTTTTTTTTTTTAATCTTTTTCTTTGGCAGATGGATTCAATTGAAGTGAATGAGCAAATTATGGATTTGAGCGAGGGTGCATCTGTGGAGAACTCGATTTCTCTAGAAGGTTCTGTTTGTGACGTCTTTGGGGAACCAGAAATACTTCCTAGGGTTGGAGATGAGTACCAGGTTGAGATTCCCTGTCTAATTACAGTCTCTGAGTATCTAAGGATTTCACAGGACCCGGCTGTTTTAGAAATCAATGCTGATGATTGCCCTAATAGTCTCATTGGAATGTCTATATCGTTGATATGGATTAGTGAGGAGAAAAGTGAGACCCAAAGCCATGCACCAGAGAATGCTTTTGATAGTGTTGATGAAAGCAACAACAAAAATGAATCCCTAAAATCCGAATGCATCAAAGAAGCCGGTATAGTTTTAGTGGGGAACGCTTTAAGGACTAAAGTTGAGCTTGAGCCCCTAGATGTTGCATCAATCAATGGGACAAACATTGGTGAATCAGAAAACTTGGTTTTGCAGAGAGATGAAAGGACCGAATTGCAACCAAGTCACGGAGGAAAAGGGCACCGCCTCGTCCCCGGTTGCTTGGATGATAGCTGGAGTGACCAGGAGGAGGCTGCTTTTCTTCTTGGTTTATACATCTTTGGGAAGAATCTTGTTCTGGTGAAGAAATTTGTGGGGAGCAAGAAGCTGGGGGACATATTGTCCTACTATTATGGGAGATTTTATCGGTCTGACAGATACCGTAGATGGTCAGAATGCCGGAAAATAAGGAGTAGAAAGTGTATATATGGACAAAGAATCTTCACAGGATTGAGGCACCAGGAACTGTTGTCTCGTTTGCTTCCCCGTGTGTCTGAGTAATGCCGGAACACTTTTCTGGAGGTAACTGCATCTTATTTAACCTTTTACTACTATCTTTTGAGCGTGGATTGGATGCAATAAATTCATTTTACTTAATATGTTTTATAGAGAAACTGTCAAACGTGTTCTTAACTGGTTTTACGGTGGCTTTTCTGCCTTAGAATTTTTCATATGAGGTAGTTCTTTAGCCTGAATTTAGATTTAGATCAGCGGTTAAATTTACCAGCTTTGACTTTAAATGCTTGTTATACTGATTGACAATCCACGTATCCCAAGCAAAACATGTATGGCATATTCAAACGTGTCTCTAGAAAGAAGGGTAACTGTTCTCAAGACTCAAATGCCTGGTTCTCAACTGCCACCTATCAATTGACAATAGAACTACACTACACAACAAAAGCATTGTCATTCCGTATAGTTGATTAGATGTCGTCCTTGCTCCGCATTTGTGCTATGAAACACACCAGCCAGTTTTCAGTCTCTGTAATTCTTTAGGAAAATTGATAGAGCATAGCTTGAAATAAGGTTTAAACCTTCAGACTTTTGCTTCTTTAGGTACGAAGTGGTGTTCTGGAATTTGAACCCAATTGAGATGCAAGGAATCGTTACTACTGTTTTTGTTGCCAAATTACAATTAAGAAGTGAAGGATTTTTTTCCTACACCTTTTTTTAGGAGGAAACATTGTTTTTGTGTCCATATCCTATACTATTGAGCTAAATGGATGATAATTTAATTGAAAGTTTTTTTTTTTTTTTTTTTAAATTTCTTTACAAGGACCCTCTTTTTGTATTATGGTCACTTTTATTTCATCTTTAATCACAAATAACAGATGCTTTTATTTTACGTATTATTATTGGTATCACTATTTACGTTGAGAAATTTGACAGGTCTCTAAGCAATATGGGGAGGGGAAAATATCGCTAGAGGAATATGTATTCACACTAAAGTCTACATTTGGGTTGAATGCTCTTGTGGAGGCAGTGGGAATAGGGAAAGGGAAGCAAGATCTCACAGGAATGGTCATGGATACTCCAAAATCCAATCAAGTTGTCCATGTTCGCCCAGAGATTCCGATTGGTAAAGCGTGCTCCACACTTACTCCTCTGGAGATAGTCAACTTTTTAACAGGTGACTTTCGGCTTAGCAAAGCCCGATCAAGCGATCTGTTTTGGGAAGCTGTTTGGCCCCGTTTGCTTGCAAGAGGGTGGCACTCTGAGCAGCCTAATAATCATAGCTTCACTGCTGGTTCCAAGCATTCTTTGGTCTTTCTCTTGCCTGGCATTAAGAAGTTTTCAAGAAGGAAACTAGTTAAGGGCGACCATTACTTTGATTCTGTGAGTGATGTCCTCAGTAAAGTTGCCTCTGAGCCGGGGCTTCTTGAGATTGAAGGTTACAAAATCAAGGAAGAAAATGGATGGAATGATGAAACAAAGCTGGACCAAGAAGATTTTCCCGACGAGCAGCGCCACTGTTATCTGAAGCCTCGCACTCCCAACCGTGCTACTGATGCCATGAAGTTTACTGTTGTGGATACAAGTCTGGCAAATGGGAGAACTGGTAAGGTGAGGGAACTTAGAAGCTTGCCGGTCGAAATAAGGAACACTTGCACCTCCCAAAGTGAGTCTGAAGACGATGATGAAGACAGTTCTGATGAGTCAGCAGATAAGTCTAGCTCTGTCAATGCCTTGTCTTCGGACAAGGATGAGACTAGTGATCTCAAAGCTGCTGTGCCTAAGTTGAGCAAATCATTATCTTTTGCTAATAAAGATGTTGAACATGGCACGGATTCAACTATTGTGCCAGCCAAAATCCCAAAGGACAAACACAATGATTTATGCAATGGCGCACAACTGAAAAAGGGTACAAAGTCCAAATTGAGCCAGAAAGAGGGTCCTGAAAACAAAATCCAGTTAGCTCCTGTCATGAAACGGCGCAGGAGATTACCCCCTCCTAGTCGCAAAGATACAAGCTGCAACACAACCAACAGCAGGGTAGATTCCAGATTGCAACAAGAGGCTAGTAGCTGTGTAGAAAATTCTGATTTGAGTGAGAACATGCTCTCTCAGGTGGATCCATCTCAAGAGAAGTTGTCGTCAACGAGCTCATCCAGAGGGTGTAGCCCGATCACTAGTGCTGAAGGGATTCCGAGTAGTAACCATATGGGTGCCGAACAGCCTCTTGAGAAACCTCAATCCCGTACATTTATCGACTTGAACATGCCTATCTCTCAAGATGCTGAAACCGATGAGCCTTTCACAAAAGAAACAACAGCAAGACAGGATCAACAAAGGAGCAAAGAATCTGACAATCCCCAGCTGTCAGTGAAATCCTCAGAATGCGCAGCTAACTCTGAGCAGGAAGCTAACGTGGGCCCCCGGCGGCAGAGCACGAGAAATAGACCGCTGACCACCAAGGTGCTTGAAGCTTTTGCTTGCGGATTTATGGACACAAAACAAAAACGGAAGGCAAAGGACGCATTTCCCAGGGATAACTTAAAGTTGAGACCCTCAAGGCGTCCTCGTCCTAGGTTGAGCCCTCAGGAGAGTTTCAATTCTGCCAATGTGGATTTCACTATGGAGCAACGTGAAACTATCCAAAAAACCAATGGTGACGTGTTCAACAAGCTTGGCGTCAGTTCTCAAACAAACTAGAGCTTTCTGAGTTGTTTATTCTCACAGTGCTCGAGAAGAAGAGAAGCCGTTTTCTTTTGGCTGCTACAATAACCCATCACCTCTAACTCGCGCATGGTTTGGCGTCGGAAATCATCACACATGGGAACTGCGGCATTACAGTCGGTTCTTTGGAAGAAGCTTATATTTCCTCCATAGAAAGCACCTCTGGCTATGACGTATGGAGACCTCAAAAGGGAAGTTGGTAGTTGAAGTTACTGTCCCTCCAAATCTCTGATCAACAACTTTTTTTTTTTTTGTTTCGTCTTGTTTTTTGTTTTTGTTTTGTTTTTTGTTTTTTGACACATTCTCACCTTGTAGAGATCACTTTGCACAAGGGCAGGTGCTAATTATTATTGTTAGTTATACAAAAATCTCAAAATGTCAACAACCAGAATTTCAGGTGCCTTGCTTCATTGCCCGCATTGTGAACAAGTTTCTATGCCTATGCTGCTGTTGATATCATTGTAGCTACATTCACATTGGTGACTGTAGTTTTATATTCTTTTATCTTTCTTTTTTTTTTTTTTTTTTTTTTGGAAAAAATTGTATTAATGCTCTTTTAGGTGATAAGGCAACGAAATAAAAGTGTAAAACCATAAATTGCCTTCTTTTTGGCTTTTCTGCTGTTGGTGATGGTGTTGCTAAAGGGGACGTTGTTGAGAAACCATGCCGTGAGGCGGCAAACAAAAACGAAAAGAACCCCGAGACTCTGAAATACGTGTTAGTTCATTCTGAACGTTAGATTGTATATAAATTGGAGGCTTTAGAGACATTCACTAATAGTATGTTATACATAAACCATGTATATATACACATACACGATTTACATTATGCACAAGGAAATATAATTTAGTGACACGCAACATGTTAATAAAATTGAAGAAAATTTTTGTTTTTGTTTTTTTGTCCTTATTAGATATCTTACTGCAGAATTTCCTATTTAAGACACTTCCAGGCCTCAAACTTGCATAAGAGAGCAAACGGAGAACGTCAAACATTTTCGATGGCAATAGCCAATCGGCAATATAGCCATGCAACATGCCAACATCCTTGTTACTTGTACAAAAGCCATTAGAGGGTATAGAGGTTAATTCAAAGTCAAGAAAGCCATTAGACTTGAAGACTTTTTTTTTTTTGGTAATATCCGTGGGCTCAACGTGTAGTTTTCAACAAAACACAAGAAAACAAGAGAGAAAACGACTAAAGGAAAAGCAAGAGATACGTGGAAATAACTTAGCATGGTCACTAAAGAATAAATTCAAACAAAAGAAATTGCACATTAATGTGAGTGAAAACGTAAGACTTGAAGGTGACATTGGTATAAATTCTGCTCAAGGAATAGTCTTATTCATAATAATAGTATCTTTCCACCTCAGTCAAAATTACTATGTAAATCAGTTAAAATTATTGTTCATGTTAGAATTTTACTGTACAAATAGTAACCGTAAACAGTAAGTACTATGCAAATAATAACCGCGTATAGTGCCGAAAATTTTCCTATAAATAGAACTTTAAGGCTCTTTATTTTATATACCTTTACAAAATTAATAAAACTCTCTAGTTTCTCTCTCTAAAGGTTTTCTTCTTAGTTTTACATTTGTTTAGTTTTCATAACATGAATGTTCTATTTTTACTGTGATTGTCTACATTCATTAATTCAAAGAAATCAGGCTCTGATTCAATTACAAGTATTTACCTTAAAGTCAAAAGAAAGTAGGCCATAACCCTAGTCCTACTACAAGTTTCTTCCCTTATTAATTCAAGTGAAAGGTATGTAAATATACTCTATTATTTTATATTCATACAAATGAGGGATGTGCCACCAACGTATTATAATTTTTATAATTTTATGGTCATACCCCATTTGAAAGGTTTACCGAGTAGTTTGACGTGTTTATATTCTCATAAATGGACGGCTAAGCCACCTGTAGGTAATAATTTCTCATTGCACTTTCTGCATGCATATTACTATTCTTATCTGTTTATTTTTCTACATCATTTGATGTATACAATTGTAATTTTTCTTCCACTTATAACGGTAATATAACGGATTTTTACACCACTATTGATGGCTATATAACGGCTATAAACGACTAGTTTTACTCTATAAAATGTAGTTTTTCTTAACCCATACAGTTTCACTTCTCATCTTCTCTTCACTCTTCTTAATATTTTTATCTTTCACTTCTCATTTTCTCTTCAATATTCTTAATATAATTTTCACGATATGGCGAATATGATGATGATGTTTGTTATTTTAGTAGTCATTTTCTATATTTTTGCTCTTTTTTTATTGGACATCATTCTCCACACGATTTTTAATTTTTCTTTGCAATACTCATACTTGTAATATTTCCCTTTTTTTTTCTTGCTATTATGATTAACATATAATTTTAATTGTACTCTCTATTGTAATAATAATACTGTGATTCTTATTATATTGATGTTCTGTTATAGCTATCACCATGTCGAATCTTGCTAAACTTGAGTTCGTTGTACTCGACGACATGATGGGAAAGAATTATTTGTCTTGGATCATATATGTAGAAATGCGTATAGAGTCAATGGGTCTAATCGGTACCATTAAAGAAAAAAATAACAAGTCACCATAAGAAAAGACGAAAGCAATGATTTTCCTTCATAAACATCTTGATGTAGGCTTGAAATGCAAACATCTCACAGTTAAAGATACACTTGTGCTTTCGAAAAGTCTAAAGGAGAGATGTGACCACCAGAAAGCAGTCATACTTCCCGCCACTAGCGATGAGTGCGACAATTTACGTTTTAAGGATTTGAAGAAAGTCAACGACTACAACTCTGCCATGTTTAGAATTGTTTCACAACTGAAATTTTGTGGAGTAAATATCACAGATGGTGAAATGCTAGAGAAAACCTACTCCACTTTACATGCATCTCACATTACCTTGCAACAACAATATTGTTTGCGCGGTTATAAGAAATTTTCAGAGCTAATATCAGCTCATCTTGTGACAGAGAAAAATAATGAATTGTTGATTAAAAATCATCAGTCTCATCCCATAGGTAGAGCAACATTTCTAGGAGCAAGTGTTGCATTCTCAAAATCCGGGACGGGGTAAAATCGTGGTCGTGGACATGGTCGTGATTGAGGCCATGGCCGGGGACGTGGTAGAAGTGGTTATTACAACCCTTCACAAAATGGCGTGATCCAAAAAAAGCGTCATGACAAAAGAAAATATGCTGATGCAAGTTGTTCCTGGAATCCTGAAAATTCCTATTATAGATGCAGTACTAAAGGACATTGGTCTAAAATTTGTCGAATACCGGAACATCTTTGTAAACTTTACAAGGCATCCTTGAAGGAGAAAAAAAGCAAGTAAATGTGAATGAACACCACGATCCTATAAATGACTCAACCCATCTTGATGTCTCAGACTTCACAAATGACTTTACATATAAGACTATTGGTGATAACTAGATAGATATATTGTGCTCTTATGAACTTGCATTGCATTTTATTTTTGTATTGGTTATGTTCTATGCATGTTGTACTTCTTTACATAAAATCCTATGTTATGTATTTTTTTTTTAAATTCATGAAATTTTTATGATATTATTATTATTTTTGTGTGAAGCTTAATATGGATGAAGCTAAGTTCAAAGTTAATACCGAGGATATATGTATTCCAGATAGTAGTCCAACGCACACTATCCTAAAATCTAAAAAGTACTTCTCTAATTTAAAACCAGTAAAGACAATAATTAATACAATATCAGGTCCTGCAGATCTGGTTGAGGGGACTGGTAGAGTAAGTTTTGTATTGCCAAATGGATCAAAGTTTTCCATAAATGATGCTCTATTTTCACCAAAGTCCAAAAGAAATTTGTTGAGTTTCAAAGACATATATCTTCATGGATATGATACACAATATGAAATTGAAGGGAATGAGAAATATATGTGTTTAACTACTAATGTATCAGAAAAGAAGTACATATTAGAAAAACTTCCAAAACTCTCTTTGAGATTACATTACACATATATAAATGTGATAGAGTCACACATGGTACTTGATAAAATATTTTCTTACTTTGTGGCATGTGAAATTATTAACGGAATTGAGGATCCTGAACCAAGATCCATTTTTGAATGCCAAAATAGACACGTTTGGATTAAATGGAAAGGTGCTATACAGGTTGAGTTAAATTCGCTTAATAAGCGTAAAGTTTTTGGACCAATTGTCTTAACGCCTGAAGCCATGAGACCTGTGGAATACAAATAGATTTTGTGCGAAAACGCAATAAGAAAAATGAAATTATAATGTATAAAGCTTGACTTGTTGCACAAGGTTTTTCACAAAGGTCCGAGATTGATTATGAAGAAACTTATTCTCTTGTAATGGATGCAATTACATTCAGATATTTAATCAGCCAAACAGTTTCTAAAAATTTAGAGACGCGTCTTATGGATGTTGTTACGGCTTATTTATATGGATTGCTTGATAGTGATATTTATATAAAAATTCATGATGGATTTAAGATGCCTGAACCACTAAATTCAAAACCTAAAGATATATGTTCGATTAAGTTACAAAGATCATTATATGGGTTGAAGCAATCCGGACGCATGTGGTATAATCGCTTAAGCGAATATTTGTCAAAAGAAGGATATGTGAATAATCTCATATGCCCATGTGTTTTTATTAAGAGAACAACATCTGGTGTTGTTATAATCGCCATCTATGTCGATGATTTGAACATCATTGGAACTCGTAAAGAAATTTAGTAAGCTGTGATATGCTTAAAAGATGAATTTGAAATGAAAGACCTTAGAAAAATGAAATATTGTCTTGGTTTACAGATTGAGCACTATCAAAGTGGAATACTTGTGCATCAATCAAACTATACTAAAAAGGTCTTAAAACGATTTAATATGGATAAAGCAAACCCTTTAAGTACTCTAATGATTGTTAGATCACTTAATGTTGAAAAGGATTCATTTCACCGTTGCAAAGGTAATGAAGAAGTCCTTGGTCCTGAAGTACCATATTTAAGTGCAATTGGAGCTCTTATATATCTTGCTAATTGTACCTTACCAGATATAGCTTTTGCTACTAATCTGTTAGCAAGATTTATCTCATCTCCTCCACGAAGAAATTGGAACGGAATTAAGCATATATTCCGTTATCTTTAAGGAACATTTGATTTATCGTAGAGGATCAAAATAGGGGATGATTGGTTTTACAGATATAGGATATTTGTCAGATCTACATAAAGTCAGGTCTCAAACTGGATACATGTTCATATGTGGAGGTACTGTTGTTTTATGATGTTCACAAAAGCAAACACTTGTTGCCACTTCTTCAAATCATACCGAAGTTATTGCACACCATGAAGCAAGTCCAGAATGTGTATGGCTAAGGTCTATGACTCAACATATCTAAGAAACTTGCAGACTATCTATCAGTAAAGATCCAACAATATTATTTGAATACAATGTAGCATGTGTTGCTCAAATAAATGAAGGTTGCATCAAAAGCGACATAACGAAATACATACCCCCGAAGTTCTTCTCATACTTCCAAGAAATAAAAAAAAAATAAGGATATTGATATTCAATACATTCGATCAAGTAACAATGCAACAGATCTTTTCACAAAAATACTTCCTGCTACAATATTCAAAAAGCATATCCACAGTATCGGGACGCGTCATTTGCGAAATTTATGAGGAAGCCTATACATGTCAACTTGAGGGGGAGTTTACGTGGATGTACTCTTTTTCTCTTATTATAGTTTTATCCCATTGAGTTTTCTTGATAAGGTTTTTCACGCGACAATATAAACACGTATAGATAAATGATGTACTATTTTTCTCTTTGTTATGATTTTTATCCCACTGAGTTTTTCCTAGCAAGGTTTTTAATGAGGCATCATGAATGGTGGATATCTAAGGGGGGGAGTTATGAACTTATGAATAATAATTGTCCGCCTTAGTCAATATTATTATGCAAGTAAGTCAAAATTACTGTTCATGTTAGAATCTTACTGTGCAAATAGTAACTATAAATAATAAGTACTATGCAAATAATAACCGTGAATAGTGCTGAAAAATTTCTTATAAATAGAGCTCTAAGACTCTTCATTTTATATATCTTCACAAAATTAATAAAACTCTCTCTCTAAATTTTCTCTCTAAGGTTTTTCTTTTTAATTTTGTATTTTCTTAGTTTTCAAAATAATTCTAAATTTATCGACCGTATGTTATAATATTAAACATTGGGGTAAGAAAAAGAATGCCGCACTAGAGGGAGGACGACAAAACAAGTTAGAAAGTGAATATCTTTTTGGGAGTAGCAGGTAATTTGCTTGGTAAAAATCGTAGGTGTGGAGAACAATTTTAGTAAAACTTTCTTGGGGGACCCTTTCAATTATATACACTGAAAATTTTCCAGACTGTCATATAGTTATTGTTTTATTTCTTTTATTTTTTCCTCTCTCCTCTCTCTCTCTCTCATATGATATTTCATTAAAATCGATGGTTGTCACTGGTATTGTCGAGTTACCCAATATGGTCCTTTTGAGGATAATACAAGATCAATTAAAAAATAAAAATAAAAAGGAGCTCTCTGTAATAGGGATGTAGTGCTTATTTTTGAACATATTACAAATAACATCCAAATAAAATACTAAACCAAATGATAGTTCAAAACATAACCTTACTGATCAGATATCTTTTCACAGCCACAAAAATTTAAAAATAAAAGAACGTTAATAAGAAATTTTATATGCTAAGATATACTTTTTTAATAGTGCACGTTTTTAAACATTAGGTCTCATCAAAATGTGTCAAATGAACAATGCAAAATTAACGGTCCATATTGATATGACAGTTTGGACAAGAATCATACTTAAATTTTTTTAATTGATATTCTAATATAAGATTCTAAAAAAATAATAATATTATTAAAACGAATAACATTTTCTTTGAATTTTTGATCAATAATAATTTTTAATAATTAAATTTTCATTAAATTATATAGTCTAATAATTATGTAATCTTTAAAAACCGTTGTCTATCAATCATTATTAAGGGAGAATGAGCTTCTCATTGATTTTTTTTTTTCTTTTCTTTTAGTCCAGCAGTTTCTTTTTTCTTTTGCTTTTATCAACTTCTTCTCCTTTGGGGTTTTTTCTTTTTCTATCTCTTCTAAAAATCACTATCTTTTGATAATTAAATTTAAAATTAGTCATTATTTTAAGAGTACTTATATTCATCTCTATAGCGATAAAATTTCACTGCTCATATAAAGTCAGTCTAGTTAGGTTATCACTTTGTTAGTGATAGGGTTTTATCCACGTGAGGATGAATAACATTTTTGTTGTCTTAAAAGATTTTTGACCCACAGAGCGCTTTTTCTTTTTTTTTTTCCTTTTTTTTTTTTTCAGTTTTCTCTCACTCTTGTCTTATTACACATTCTTCATTTTTTTTCGCTTTCTAAAATTGTGATCTCATAAATATATTCTCTCTATGTTCCTATTAAAATAAATTCTTTTCATACACATCTTTGCCTTTTTTTTTTAAATTCCCTTTTCTCTCTCTCTTTTCATTTTCTATCATCCTTTTCTTCTTGTTCTTATTTTTTCTTTATTATTTATTCTTTTTTGACACGGTCTGTCTCCCTTTCTCCATTGAACGTGCCATTCTTGGTCGTTCGTCCTTATGATCAGATGGCCTAAAAATACAAAAATTTATTATTATTATTATTATATTTATTTATTTCAAACTGATTTGTTTTTCAATTTTGTCCATTTTAATATTGATTTGCACTGATATTGATGCTACTCAAATAAAAATATTATAAATAATTTGAATAAAAAATAGATTTTTGCAAATATAACCTAAAATAAAATAAAATCACACTGAATTAAGTAAAAAACATAGCAAATAAAACAAAATAAATCTAATTTAAAACACAACAAAATAAGTTAAATTTTCGTAATTAAAGCTTCACCACATATGTCGCACCCACGAACTTTTTAGACTGGACTAAATAGGCTTCGGGTCACTGTAATCTAACGTGTTTTAACACGTTTTGTACAAACACAACAAAATAAATTAAAACAATTTGTATAACTGTAATTTTAAATGAATCATGCGCGCATAGCACGTGCGCTAAAAACTAGTTTTATCAAATTGGGTAATTTTTCTCAACTAAACCTAAGGGTGGCAATTCATGCTAGTGGATCTTGTTCGTGTCAACTTGTTTATTAATCGTGTCAGAAAACATCAACCCAAACACGATTTACTTATTAAACGTATCAAAAATGTCAACCCAAACATGACATATTTATTAACCGTGTTAACCACATCAACCAGTATAACCCATTTAAATTAATATATTGAATAAATAACTGATATAATTAAGACTTATTTAACATGGTCAAGACATGTTTAACATGTTTATTGGTCAATTTATCTTTTCCTTTAAGAAAAATAAATAAATTTTACCTTCAAATATTAAAATTCATATTATTTGTATTTAATATGTCATATAAACATTCATATTATATCACATATCATTAGATTGTAGATGACACATATAATTATTTGTGTCAATTCGTGTTAAAAGATCAATCATAACCTAACTCATTTATTAATCATATTAATCGTATCAATTCAATTATAACTCAAATTTAATTATAATAAACCCAAATTTAGGCATCATTCATTTCACCGATTTGAGTTTTTAATTTTAGATTTTTACAGTAAAAAGCTCTCAGAAAATATCATATTTAACTTTTTTTGCTACAGTGAAAAGCTTTAAGAAAATGTTATATCTCAGTTCAAATTAAAAACTCAAATTCACAAAGTAAACAATACCTAATAACTTCTTATAAATTTCGAATTGCATCATCCCATCACTACTCGAATTACCATCTTAAGTCTAAACCTACCACTGCTACGAGCGCACTCAACCAAATAACGTTCGTGGTTCCGTGGATAGTAGGAGGACACGTGGCCAAAAGAGAAATGCCACGTGGCACAACATTTCGTCGTTTAGAGTGGCTCAGAGCCAAGCCCAGCGAGTGCACTCACTCCATGGCCACGTCGCTGAGCTTCTTCTTCTTCTTCTTCTTCTTCGAGCTTCTCATAAACCCTAAATCCAAACCCTAATTCTCTGATCACCATTGCTTTTAATGAAATTGGGGGTTTCGTTGCACTCGCAGCTACAGAAAGAGAACAATGGGACAGGCATTTCGTCGAGCATCTGGGAGAATCCGAGCTTCCTCGAGCGCCGACCTGACGCCGTCTTCGTCGGCGGCCAAGAACGCCGCCGATCGGTGCCCTCCGGTGGGACCCACCGGCGGAGAAGAGACCTCCAAGGCCGGCGAGCTCAGCGGTCGTGCTCTTGATTCTGGTAAAAATTTTAGCCCTTTTTCTCTCTTTCTCTGCAGTGAATCCTCTATTTGCAATGAATTAGTGGAAATTTTAAGCTCCAGCTATTGGATTGCGATTGAACACAAAAGGATTGCACAAAGAGTTTCGCTTGATTTGAAATTCCAAGAAATGAGCAATATTTATGAATCTTCTGATTTTTTTTTTTTTTTTATATTTAATGTCAACTTTGTCGTTTATGCTTTAGGTACCAAATTCTTGATCATATTTCTTTTTGGTTATTAGAAATTAAATAGTGGAAGTTGTAGAAGTTAGTAACTGATTCAGAACACACAAATAAGGTGATCATAGTTTACTACCAAAGAACTTTATTTAAGGCTTCTTTTGGTTTTGTGAATGGGTGCATCTGATATTGATGATTCTGAGTTAGTTTTTTGGGTTGAATGGTCCTGTTTTTTGTTGGTTTAAGATGGTGCTGTGGGAAAGAATCCTGACAATGTTCTTGAAGAAAGAGATCCACAATTCGACGCGATGCTTAGTCAGATGGCGGGTAGGATTAGAACAAAGCCTGGCGGAAAACCGGAAATGGGCGAGGTGAGTGATCTATGGAAGTTTCTTTTCTCTATTTCTTTCTCTCTTTATCGTGTTTTGTTTTGTTTTTTGTTTGTTTTTTTTTTTTTTCACACTCATTTACAAACTAACATCTAGTCTTATGTTGATGCTTACAATTCGTGGAAAACGATACTAGTGGTTTATTCTTGTCGCATGCCTAATCTTTAAATTGAACCTTCTGTCCTTTAAGTCCACGAGAAATCACTTAGCTTTGTTATGGCTTTATTCCTTCTTTTATTTGACTGATTCAAGTTCCAATTGGGTGATGATATATACTTTCAAGCCGTTGAAGCTTTTTTCTGGTCATTTTCTGGTCAACTCCCAACTTTTTCCAGATAGAAATTTGAGAACTTTCTGGTCATTTTATTCCTTTTTCATTGGATTGAGAGAAAAGAAAGAAGAAACCATCTACAACGCTTGGAACATAGTATTGTTCGTTTCTCTTTTCATATTTGGACCATCTTCTTTTAAAAGTTACTTGGTTGAGTAATTTGAGATTCTATCCCAAAGCATGTAAGAGTCCAAGTTCTTTGTGTTGCTAAGTAAACGAAATCTGTTACAGGCATTTGTGGTGGAGAATTATAAGAGATCCCTGCCGAAACTCCGAAATACAAAGCCAGATTCAAGCAGGTTTGAAGAAAGGCCTACTCCTGCTGGAACTCTGAATGTCACGCAGCTTCGCCACGTCGTTCTTCTGCATGAAGGTAAGGCTGACGATCACGACGGGCCCATGGATGTCCATCAAATCGCAGAAAAATACCGAATTGATGTTGCAGAGGTTCAAAGGATCTTGCAGTTTATATCGCTGCCTCCCGAGGACAAGAAGAAAGATGAAAACAGTTTTTGAATACCGGCTGCTTTGACCTACTCATCTGCTCTACTAACAGATTTTCTTCTGAATAATGATGGCTGATGTAAGGCTTTGAGAATTTTTGTTTTCAAAATTTGTTTGAGATTTTCTTCATACAGAAAAGTACCAGAGAATGGATATTTGCCATCTCCTTTGTTAAAAACTTGTAGAAAATTTTGTTAAAGAGTGAAATTAGTCGTTGATGCTTTTAAGCCCAACTCGTTTAACCTTATTGAGTCGTCTAAGATACTGAACAGTAACTGAACACTATTTTTTGTTGGGTAATCTTAACAAATACTATGGTATTTGAAAGTGTATGAGTCAGGATTTATCTTTTATTCTTGATTCATAATCTTTTTAGTTAAATAATTACACTAATAAAAGGACATTTATTAAGAGTAAAAAGTAAAGGTCTAAATTCATTCTTAAGAGTAAGTTTTCCATTTTTTTTTTTGAGATATCGTAATAATTAGTTTCGAGATATCGTAATAATCAGTTTCCTTGGCTGTGCCTGAGATTGTTAATTTTATTAGTGGAAGTTCAATATATTTTTTAAGATTATTTTCATAATTGCCCTTTAAATTATGTACCTTGATTCAAAGTGTCTTAATTTTTTAAAACGGTTCAAAACACCTAATATATAGAAAATGGTTCAAAGTGCTTTCTTTGTCCAATTCCGTCTATAATATTAACATATTTGTATAAAGAAAAAGAAAAAGAAAACCTCAATTACCATCCCCTTTCCCGATGGCACCACCACCATCCCCTGTCAGCAACCCAACCCACCCCACAACCACTCTCTCGACTCACCCCACCCCTCAGTTTAGTGGCCCACCTCCCACCTTGATGGCCAGAGTCGTCGCCGTTGCTTCTTCATTGGTGAAATCAGATCTTGTCCTCTCTCACAGCCCGTCTCTCTCTCTCTCTCTTCGTTCTCTCATTTATACTTCGTTGAGCCTTACCCAGTCGTCGTATTCACGGATGATGATAGCGACTCTATTATCAGATCTGTGATCTTCGTCAATCACCGAGGACGCTACAACTGTCGATGAACCTAGCTCGTAGTACGAAGATCATATCACCAAACCTTCCAATACCGCGCCGAAGCCCATATCCTGTGCTCGCCAGAGAAGTCCAATTGGACCACGTGGACAAAACCCAGATTTAGATGAAACTCAGATCTTCTTGGCTTGGTTGGTTTAAGAGATTTCATTTTTTTTTAAAAAAATTTGAGCAAAAATAATCCATTTAATGGTCTTCTCTCAAGTAGATGACAATAACTGTTGTAAATTAGTTAAATAGCAAGTTTAGATTATTGATAAACTCAAACAAGACAAAAATAGATGAAAGCATCTTGACACTGTTCATCTTCAATGGCTCCATAATGAAAATTGTTCATTTTCATTGGCTTTGACAACAAAGTTATGAGTAGAATATGAATAAGAAAAATCTCATTTTAATAAAATTGACATTTAACTAAAACGTATAAATATTGGTCAATTTTCAATACTGGTGAGGTGAATAAAAAAGTTCATCTAACTTCATTTTCCCTTTTTATTTTCAAATTTTATGTTTTTTTATTATATTTCTAAATAAAAAAAGTATAAAAGTCATATTATGTATTTTTTAAACTTTTTTTTTTACTTGCCACGTGGGCACTTTCATTAATTTTATAAACAACAGTGGATGGGATGAGGCCTTTGAGTCATTTTCTATAGATTAGGATGTTTTGAACCGTTTTGAAAAAATTAAAGGATACATTGAAATGAGGTACATATTTCGAGAGACATTTATGAAATTAATCATATTTTTTTATACAATTTTCTCGATTAATATTTCTACGAACTTGCTAGTCACGTGGAATAGAAAGTTTCCACATTTCAACCTTAAAATAAAGCGTGCTGCTTGATTGGATAAGTAATTGGTGCAAAGTGCAAACTATGACCTCGTTTACTTCGCAGATTTGAGTTTTCAATTCAAACTGAGATGTGACATTTTCTGAGAGTTTTTTACTGTAATAGAAAAAGTTAGATGTGACATTTTCTGAAAATTTTTTACTGTAAAAACTTAAAACTAAAAACTTGAATCGGTAAAATGAACAAAGCCTATGGAACGCACTTTGTTCAATTTCTTATACAATTTTATGCCGTGATGGCTCTCTCCCTCTTTTTTTTTTTTTTTTTTTTTTTTAATGAATCATGGCTTTCAGTAAAAAGAACACCAATAAACGTCGCGTCTCAAATTTTGTCACTTTTAAAATTTAAATTTTTTATGAAAAAAATACAACTATAAAACCAAGAATCATAATTTAAATCAGGCAGAATCATTAGAGTTTGGTTTAGCTGCTTTGAAAAGACAATACTAACATGTGATGTTCGAACCTTAACACCCTCATTATCGCCATTTTCTGGTACCTGGCACCTGCAGGCTGCAACATCAAACATTTTTGTTCTTTTCACCATAGCCATAACTTCTGAATTCTATCACTGTATGTATTTATCAAACTGATCCTAGTATTTTAATTGTAGAAAAAAAAAACTGATTTTAGTATTTCAGTCCATAGACTAGTTAGTAGTCTATCCATTGCCAAATGCCAACCAGAAGCTTCAACAGTTTCTACAGTGGGAGAACGGAAAGTTGTACTGCAACAAGAGCTATGCATTGACCAACTGCATTGACCAACTCGCATATTTAGGAAATTAATCCATTCACATTTAACAATTTCAAATATAAGGACACAATTTTAATTGGAACTGTACATATCGATTTTTTCCAATGCAATTCGTATCACTATATATATTGGGGCCTCTAGTTTCCAAAAAAAATACGGTTTTCCCTTCCTATTAGACAGCTTTATAAGGTCTCAGGACAAAAGAATCGGACAGTGAAAAATTGATAGAGGAAAAAAAATGAAGTTAATTCACGTCCAAATGGACTCTAACCAATCCGATATGTATTCATAAGCCACAAAAGTTACAGCACCAGCCGGTGCGGCTTTGACAGTTGAGGGGACTATCCCCTTGTAGAGACCAGCCAAACCCTCCGACTGCGTAATTCTTCGCAAGGCATCAAACATATTTCTGTAAGCACGGTGTTCCACTCGAGCCCCATACCGTGGGTGCCTTTGTAATCCCTCGATCTGCAAATTCAAAACATTTATGTGGGCTCAATAATAAATTGGTTTGCACAAGTCCAATCTAGCCAACATGTCTTAGAGGTATGAAGCACACTGCCAATATATAGCATTTCTAATTTCCTTGACAACATGCATTTTGCACATGAAAATCTCTTTCTAAAAAAGAATGATTGTTATTAAGATCAGAATTTATCCGCGGTTTTCGTCCGTCTTATATTCTCCTGAGATCTTTGGATTTTGATATTGCACCAAGGGTCTAAGTACGCGTTTTAACTAAAAAAGAGGTAAAAGCTAATAAAGTTCTTCAACAAACTACAACCTAACTGGCTCCTTTCACATACAAAACAACTTAACCACCAATGTTCTACAAGAAACATGTGAATCAGGTAGCAATTAAAAAATTAACGTTAGTAGAATTTAGAGCGATACTGGATATAAAGTTTACAAAGTGCAAAAGTGTACCTGGAATCTTTTCTTGACAACATCAAGTGGATGACAGACAAGTTTGGCACACGTCCCAGCTGCTAATCCACAAAGAAAAAGCTGAAAGCTTGAAACGCCATCATCTCCGTTGATTGAGTTTGTCTTTGATAATTGGCTTCGGTTCCAAGCCTGCATTGAAAACAGTATATCATCGGATCTAAATTCATCACCTGCATTGAGGTTTCAAATCCTATTTTGCGTAAAGTGATTAAATACATAAAACAAATATAGTGAAAAGCTCAGTTCTCTTAAGAATTCTAGTGAATTCTGGCAAGCAAGACATAAAGTGAAGTTCATGGAATGAATAGTGTGAACAGTCTTTTCTATGCACGCAATTTCACAGATGTCTATGCGTGTGAATAACTGAAGTATATACTTATCAAATGCTCTTCTTCACACAAGAATCCCATTATCCTACTTTTAATTCTCAAATATATCAGCTGTGGAGAATCTCTATAGAACAGGTAGAACTCACCAATGTCCAGCGCTTAAATGTATCATACGTGCCAAATTGTAAACCCGCATAAGGAACAATCTCAACCAACGTTGGTGACAATCCAGCATATAACCCTCGGGCACCACGTGTTCTAATTATATCAAGAAATGCAGAGCTCATAGTGGGATAAACCTGAAGTTGGGTGCATTGTTAGTAAGACATTTACTTTTAAAGGTGAGAAAAATAAAAGATGTATGCATATTCACACCTTAGGTTCTCCCTGAGAAGCTAATATAGTTCGCAGAAGATCAAATGGATACGATCCAACAGTAGCAGCACACCCTGCTAATGCTCCACTGATATAAGAAAGGTATGGACTCAAATTAATGTGATCCTCTGCATCAGAAAACCAATTATGAGAGACGTAACAGTAAGGCAATGAAACAAAATAAGAAAATATTGGGGCTCAGAGAGAGCTGACTGGACGAGAGGAAAACAAGAATAAGAAGATCAAACCGTATTTAATTACCATCCCTCCATCAGAAACAGAATAGCTACATAATCTACTCAACTCAAACTTTGAACATTGAATTACACTCTATAACAACATTCTGGACAGGAAATTTTCCAAAAAGTCAAAACATCCTTCCGTTTGACAAAAGTTGGCAGTGCTCAAGATACCTGACTTAGAAGAACCAGCCGCAAAAGTTTTCAATTTGTGTAACACGGTAAATTGTATGGCAGTATACGGCATAACCATAAGCAAAGCTGGAACATTGCCACGCCAAAAACCCTGTCAATACCATTTTTTCTTTTAATAAGAAGAAGCGTGTCTATGCTTTTATATTAAGTCTAGAAAAAGTCTCAGGGAGCAACAATAAGAAAAGTAAAACATACATTAAGAACTAAACAAAACTAAGGAGAGAGAAAGAGGAAAATCCAGAACAAAACAATTGTCAATGTCATACTATAAATTATTTATGTACCGGTAATCCTTCATCTCTGAAAATGTCCTTCGTTGCTTGAACCATTCCCGTATATTTTGAAGGTCCCGACAAATTTCTGCGAATCAAAGCCCATGAGGTTGTGGGCTCCAGTTGAACCTATCAGCATACGGGAACAAAAATACTCTTAAGTAAACTACAAACTTAACGAAAAAGAGGGGCAAAAAAAAAAAAAAAAAAAAAACACAACATTAGGTGCACAATGAGAGCACACATTTGTAAAACCAAGGTACTTATATGCTAAGCTAACATAAACCAAAACTTCCATCCTATATATCTTTGAGGGCAGAGTTGCTAAGACACCATTCATATACTCAGTTTAATTAAAACCCACAAAACTTTATTACCTTTTTAATGCCAATAAACGTTCTCGTTCTTTTAATTAATGATGAGCAGCTTAGAAACATAATGCACTAGACATTGACACAAAATAAAGAGTACAATAGTTCTAAATTCTTTTTAACTACTAATTTGATAAAAATTTGAGCAAAGTTCAACAGTTTTCCTAAAGAATTGGAATTACTATGGAAATCGAAAGAGAGAAAGGAACCAAAATTATGGACCTGGAATCTGATCTTAATAACGTCAAGAGGAGAAGTGACAGTCCGCGATATTCCTCCGGCGATTGCCCCCGCCGTGGTGTCTATCACCGCCCGCTTAAGCTGCCCGGAATCCTCCATTACGAGGGAGAAACCTCAATTTCCACGAACCGCTACAAACTGAGAAAAATCCACCACCGCCATAGACGACAGCAATTCAGAAACAGAACGTCCAAATCAATAAACCCCAATCTCAAAAACGCCCAAATCAATAAACCCCTATCTCAACGGAAACTCGAAGCAATCACGAGAATGCGCCGAGAAATAGGGTAAGGTTTTGGAGAAGAAAAAGGTAAAGTTCGCGTATTTATTAAAAATATTCCAATACAGACACACACACACACATATATATATATATATATGTATATACACAACCCGCAATTTGAGTTAAGAGAGAGAAGAACCTGGAGAGAGAATAGAGGAAGCGAGGAGAGAGCCGCCATGGAAGGGATTTGAAGAGAATAGAGGAAAGGTATTTTTTATTTTTTTATTTTTATTTTTTTGCCGCCTTCTTGAACTGAGATGTGAAAAAGCGGCGATTTTTTTCACTTTGATTTTTCGGAATTTATGTGTGTTTCTGTGTATATTTATACATGTATATTATACGTATATGTGTATGTCTCAGGCTCACAGAGAAAGAAGAAGGAGAGACAGAGAGAAGCACACTTTTTTTTTTCTTTTTTGGAATAAATGAATTATTTTCTCTCTCTATAATTAGTCTTGTAGTTGAATTTATTTCATAATTAGTCCATGAATTAAAAAAGTATATCATAAATAGTCTCTCAGTTGAATTTTTGAATTAAAACCGTTATATTGATTATGTTGGATGGTAGTTATGATTTTTGGGTTACTTTTGAGTTATTTCTTTTATTTTTTTCTTTTATCATTATTTTTTTCTAGTTTTATGGATATTTCCTCCTTCATTTTATTCTTATCAATTGAAAAAAAAAGGACACCACAAAAGAATGCGGCCCATTCTTCTATCTTAACACTTGATATAATTAATGAGCGGCCATAGTTTAATTTGACCATAATGCATTTACTAAAAAAAAAAAGGAGAAGAAGACCATAATGCACAATACATGGAGTAGTAGAAGTTCCGAAACAAAAAGAAAATCATCAATTGCAATTACTTACACTGATACAAGTGCATGAGAAAAGAGGTAAGTATATATATGTACACTATATAATGCTTGTACAATTTAAACAATAATAATAATTTTCAGAATAATTTTCTTAACTTTGTAAGAGGTGTTGCATCCGTTTAAAAACATAACTTCACTTAGATCAAATTTGATTCGAACACAAAAATAACAATTTAGAGATTAATTGTAGAGAAAAATATTAATAACCAACTTTAGAGAAGTAAAAAATATTTAAGAGACGTTTGGTTCGTGAATTAGAATCATTTTCAATTTACGTATATTTTTTGTGAGAGAAAACACTGTAGCGAACTATGAACCATGATTCGAATCGGGATACGAATCCTCCAACCAAACAACCGCTTAGAAATCTCAAATAAGACAAAAGTGTAAAATAAAATAACTTAAAAATCATAACTACCATCTAATTTAACGGATTCCATCTAAAATTTTAACAAATTGACTATTTATAAGACGTTTTTTCAGTTGAGAGACTATTTAGGAGATAAATTTAACTCATTTTAGAGTGAGAAAAGAATTGAGGGAGCTTTGATGAATTTATTCTTTTTTTTTTTTTTGATAAGATTTAGAAGAGAGACATACACTTTAATGAGTATAATGACACATAGATCCTCTTTTTGATTTCGTCCCTCAAATTTAAAATTAAAAAAATGGGTAAGTTATTTACCAGAAATCTACCCAAAATATTCCAAGTCAACGTTCCACTTCCAATACCAAAATTTACTCGGAAAAAAAAAAAGAAAAGGAAAGGAATGCGTCTGGAATTTTTTGGACTAATAATAAATTTAGAAAGGAGAGGGCAGCCAATATAGGAGAGGATATATATATATATATATATATGTGTGTGTATATATATATATATAATTATAAAAATAAACTTGTAAAGAAAATTATTATAAGAGAGAAGCTAATTCTCTTTTCATGAGCCAGCCAACTCATATTATTTTTTAATTCTTAATTTCCTATTTCCCAATACAATAAGAAAAAGAAAATTTATCTTTTTGTGCATAAACAGCTCGTTGCTTTGGAGGAATAATATTAGGACAAAAGTAGTGATAGAAAATTAGTGGCCTAATGTCGACTCACTTTCCACTTTGTGAAAAACCAAATGTATGAATAATATTCCTATTTCTTTTCCTTAGAGAAAAAGTAAGAAAAAAATTCATTCTTATGTTCTTTTTAGCCGCTTGAAGTTAACTCAAATGAGTGAGTGTGTGTCTATTAGAGTTTCAACTTTAATAATTTCATTTTTTAAGTAAAATGAAAATCATAGACCTTATATTATATATATATATATATAAAGAGTTCCGTTCTCATTAATTGTCACATGCCCATTTATGTTTTTGAATAAAAATTGGTGATTCACCATCTTACTAACTTTTATATACATACATGATGTTAATGGTAAAAATACTCGAGTCTCATATTGTCTAAATATAAATATAATTACAACCTCACAGATATATAAGATTATTAGGTCATTCCACTTCACAGACATAATCACAATCTTTTAAGATAAAAATCTAAAATCTTATAAAGTCTAATTCTTCTTTCTCCTTAAAATACATATTCTCTTTTCCTATGTCGAAGTTCAAGTAGTTATGGATTTCTTGATTTCTGTCTGCCTACAAAAATAAGGGAGAGAAAAAGGTATTCATAGTAGTTAAAATTTAACTAATACTATAATTAATTAACAAACTAATTATTTCAAGATACAAGTGCAGTCGCTTTCCAAGAGAGACCGACCAAGTCATTCTCATTTTTTATTTCTTGGACTACACCTTTGTAAAAACCGAATCTAAAACGAATTATTATGTATAATGAGAAATTGAAGAACCAAAGCGTCAAAATAAATTCCAGACAAAAATAATAATAGTAGAAAGAAAACTCCCATAGAAACATCTTACTGCAACAAACTTGGTGTTTTTAGCTATGATTAAAGAAATGGTGTTTTTAGAAATATTTGTCGTCATTAAATTTTAAAGTTGTTATTAAATATCTTTTAATGGCAACAATATCAGGGGCGGAGGGAGGTAGGGAATGTGCCCCGATGAATTTTTGAGAAATTATTTTTAGGCCATTAAAGTTTCGGTTTTTTCTTTTAAATGCGTATAGTTCTTTAATTTTTTTTTTTTTTTTCATATTTGTCCCCTCTCTTAATTAATCAAAGTTTAAATATGTCTCTACTAAATCTAATTTCATATGTTTATCATATCAAAAGTAATTTCAAACAAGAAAACTTTTTATAAATAACTCATTTATATAATTGTTTTTCATATAATCTTTTTCATACAACCCTCTCAACTATTATCTTATAAATACTTTTTTCTCTAGTTAATGACTCTTAAGTAAGTATATGTCCCCGTTAATAACACAAATATTCTTTTTCTTTTTTTGTATTTTTAAAAGATTCATATGAAATTCTTAAGTATAATTGCTGACGTTTTAATATAAAATTATATTTTCTGATTTCTTCTCATGATTAAAACATGTTAAATTATTCAATTTATAATTTGCCTTCAAATTGAAAATATGTAGCATTTACATAGTGAAGTATAAAGAATAAATATGGATCAATAAATGCAATTTATAATTTTTTTAAAATTAGAACGAATGATCATAAAAAGCATCAAAAAAATTGAAAAAATTATTTTAGTTGGGTAATTAATTAAAATAAGTATTTCTTATGGTTGTATTTGATAAAATAATAAATTTTAGAAGACTACGTGCAAAAATATTAATGTAGGGGATGTATTTGAGAGAACATATTTTTCAATGGAAAGGAAAAATATTTAATAAGAAACATTTCAAATACAAGATTAAAAATAAAATAGAAAAATCTTAAAGCAAGCAAGAAATGTTTTTTTTTTTTTTTTTTAAAAGCAATACAAAAAAAAAAAATATTCTTCAATGGTAAGATAGAAGAAAAGTATTTAGTAAGAAACATTTCACATACAAGAATAAAAATAAAATAAAAAATTTTATACCAAGTAAGTAAGGTGAAAAAGAAACCTAAGCAATATTTTGTAATAAACATTTATAATACAAGATTAAAAATAAATTAAAGAATTTTATACCCAAACAAGTAAGGTTATCCCCTATTCTATATATATATATATATATATATATATATAAACACACATATATAATAAACATATATTAGTAATATACATATATATTAGAGTGTTTATTTCTATAGGACAACAATTCGCCCAATCATGTTATATGATAGTGAATGTTGGGCCATCAAGAGACAACAAATATACAAGATGAGTGTGGCGGAGATGCGTATGTTAAGATGAATGAGTGGTCATACGTGGATGGATCACATACGGAATGAAGTTATTCGTAGTAAAGTAGGTGTAGCACCAATAGAAGATAAGGTGCGGGAGAACCGTCTGAGGTGGTGCGAAAAAACCTTCTGAGGTGGTACGGGCATGTACAACGTAGATCGTTAGATGCATATGTTCATGCTTGGGAGAACATCCAAATACCTAGTATTAGGAAAGTGAGGGGTAGACCAAGAATTACTTGGGCTAAAGTAGTTAGGCACGACTTTCAAGATCTAAGATTTCAGGAGGGTCTTGTATTTAATAGAGCAGACTGGAAACAAAAAATCCATATAACCGACCCCAACTAATTTGAAATTAAGGCTTGTATTTTTTGTTGTTTATTTCAATTAATTTGTAAACATTTTTTTATTGCGGCATTTTAAGTACTAATTTCTTGAATGTACTTTCTAATAATTTTCTATCTAATTTGCTCCCTAAAATCTTTTACTAGTCAAACATGTTCTACACGTCTACAAACATATAATATTGAACCCAAACACATTTTAGTTGAAAACATTCATTCAGTCCATTCTATTATATTTTTTTTACTAAGTAAAAACTTAGGAATGATAATTTTTTTCAAAAAAAAGTCTAAACTTTTCGCAAAATTTTATATCGATGCAAGAAATTAAATAAACTAAATTTGAATGCATGACACATGCTTCAAACAAGTTAATAGTATTAAAAAATAATATTTTTAACATTTTTCATTTATAACCCTCCTGAAATAAAATCCTAACTCCACTAATGATCGTTGTCGCGTTATTGTTAAAAAAGTTATAGCAAAAGGAATATAATGATGAAAAATGTGCCATAACAAAAATGCTCATACTTATCAACAATAATTTTCGTTACTAAATGATCGACGTTTGTTGTTGTTCGGTTGTCACGGAATGACACGATGATATGATATCATAAGATTTAGTAAATTATTTTTAAAAATAAAATAATAAGTATATATTTAGAGTCCGTTTGATAAATGAGTTTGAAATGTAGTGGTTTTGACATTTTGTGGGTTGAAATAAGAAGTTTAAAAAGTGTGTTTTGA